CCCCAAAACCCCAAAACCCCAAAACCCCAAAACCCCAAAACCCCAAAACCCCTTTTCATCACTTTCAAATTGATTAATTTAATTGGTTACTTCCATGAATCCCAATATCCCCTAAATTATTCACTAAAACTCCAAAAACCCCATGAATCAAAGTTTCTTTTCCCTCCCATGAGCCCCTCACCCAATTTCTTCACCCCTATTTTCCCTTCCAAAGTGCTATAACTCTTCTAAAAATATGTATTAATTTATAAGCAAGAGTGTCTATTTCATGTCGTTATCTATTCTTTCTTTTCTTTGGCTTCTTAGACATCTCCATTAGCTTCTCTTCTTCATCAAGTAAGTCTCTTTTTATTTTCTTATTGTATTTACTATATAAAATTAGTCAGTATTCTCAAAATAGAAATGAGCATAAAACACGCTATCTGTTTTAAAAGTAACAAATTCTGAATTCCATAAGCTATTTAAAGTCGAAAACCGGGCATTTTAATACTAAAAGAGCTGTATCGGACCTTTTCTTTTATATCCCTTGGCTTCGACCGAAAATGAATCTAATTTGATTAAGGATTCTAATTTTGTCATTCTTAAAACTAGGTGGACTATTCCAACCATTATCAGAGATGAGCCTATTGGCTGGTGGCACTATGACAATACAGAATCTTTAGGGAAATCTAAGTAAATGAGGATGTATTCTCAACCCGCCAAAATCCTGTCGATATCTCATCTAAAATCCTGACTTGGAGCTCTCAACTTGAGAGTGTCTCTTATTGAATAGAGAAAGTGAATAGAGATTGCTCAGAAGCTAATCTGCATGAATTTTTAGGGACATGTTCATCTTGCTGAGCAGAAATAAAATCCTAAGACAGATGCGAATGAGAAGAAAAGGGGACTATTGAGCAACTCTTGAATAGTTTTACAATGGCTTAGAAATTGAGTAGTTAGTTTTAATATCTATAGTATATCTACTCATTCATTTAAGTGCGAACGCTAAATTTTTTATGTAAAGCTTGCTCCTGATGCTGCTAATAAAAGAGCCATATGTAGGTGAATCAAGCCAAACAGCGTTTAGTCAACTTACGATGTGATAGTCTTCTCATATTTTTCATTCTTTCTTGCTTCCTTTCTGAGCTGCTCTTTACTGGTAATTTCAAACTCCATTTGTTTAGCTTCTTCCCTTCTGTTAGCTTTAGCGAGCATCTTCTCTTTACGATTCTTTTGGATTTTAGCCTGAAGTCTCTTGCTGGCTTTCTCCATTTCTTTAAAGTTGTTGCTCTTCTTGGCCATATTGAGGCCTTTGGTGCCCATTTTCTTAAACTTATCGCTATTTTTATCATGGAACTGATTCCTTGTGTCTTCAGTGTCCGCTTTGAGTTCGCTTTCTCCAAGGAAATTTGACATTTTGTTAGTATTAATAATTTATAATTTAAGTTATATAACTTAGAATTCCTGGGCTTTTATGGGGTTTTGGGGTTTTGGGGTTTTGGGGTTTTGGGGTTTTGGGG